TTAATTATCCCCTTAAGCTTAAAATCTACTACCACCATGCTAAAATACTCCTCCTCTGCAGCCCTTAATGATTTCTGTCATGTTGCATTCATCCCTATCATTGTAAAATGCTTTGAAAGACTCTCTTTTATACCCAAAATCCTTTTTCCTATTGCTTAGACCCCATAGATTTGCCCATTTCACCAACAGATCAGAAGAAAGTGTCACCTCTAGACACTTCACTCTACCCTTATCCATTTGCACAGCCCCAACATTTATGTCAGAATCCTGATCACTGATTACAGTTCAGAATTCAGTATCTGAATTCAGCAGCTGATTTCCGTGCTCCCATGGGTCATTTGACCCAGTGTTTCTGTGTTTTTGGACTTTCTAGTGTTAATTTGAATATTCTGTTATGTTGAATCCTGGTTTATTTAATATTTATTTATGTTTTGTGCATTCTTAGTGCATTTATTCTAGCTTTCAGTTCTCAGTTATCTCAGAATTAGTGTCCTATCCACTTGTGTCAAGTATCCTGTGTTAACTTTATTCATGTGTTTGTGTTTTCCCAGTTAAGCTGTCACTCTTCTGCTTTTATTTTTAATAAAATATATATATTGACATGATAGTATCACAGTTGCTGCAGATTGTTTGCACATCCATGATGTGAAAGTCCTTTTGCACCAAATTACAAAGTTGTTCTGTTGGACTGAGAGCTGTAATTGTGTTATCCATTTGAGTACAGCAAACTCATTATCATGAGCTTTGTGACACGGTGTGTTTTAGTTTAGCTCTTTTGTCCCGTCTGCTGTGATTTGATTCACTTGTGTCTTATTCGCCGCAGCTGTTTCCACTTCCTCTAATCACCACCATGTGTATGTATCGTCTCAGTTGCCCATTGCCCTTTATCAGAGCGTCTGTTCATCTATCCTTTGTGTCTCCCAACTCCACTGGTGCAGAATTACAGTGACCAACCCAAGTTATCAGTTTTTCTTTTTATTCTGTGTTTGTTTGATTGTTTTTGCTTTCTGGTCACCAGCCTCAATAAGACATTTCTGTTTTACTACGTCTGCCTGAGAGTCTTTTGCATCCTCACATACAACATATGGCATCAGTCTGTAACTTGAATCTAGTTATGGCTAGCCAACTTCTCCTCTTCCCTTCTCACCTTGAATAATAGGGTGCCACGAGGATGGTTGCTGAGCTCTCTTGTCTACTTGCTCTTCACCCATGATTGCACTATTATTTATGACTCCGACATCATAGTAAACTTCAGACAGCACAGAGATATGACTGATGAGGGAGACAACAAGACTGCTTACAGGGATGAGGTTCAGCATGTAGCTGAGAAGTAGATAAAGGTGATCATTATGGAATTCATGTGAACCATTAGCCATGCACACATCCATATCTACATCAGTGCTTATGCAGTAGAAAGTGTATAAATCTTTATTGGCATCCACAACTCCCGTGATTTCCCCTGGCCTCTGAACTACCCTACTCTGATCAAAAAAGCACATCAGTGTCTTCACTTCCTGAGGAGCTTTAAGAAAGCTCATCTGTCTCCTAGGATACTAATGGACCTCTGCTGCTGTTCTAACAAGAGTATTCTCACCAGCTGCATCTCAGTGTAGTATAGCAATTGCACTGCTTTAAAAAAAAAAAAAAAAAAAGCAAAAGCACTGCACTGGGTGGTGAAAACTGCCCAGCAGATCACTGGCATCCATTTGCAGACCACTGAGAACATTGATCAAAAAACCTCCCTTGTCAGGGCAAAAAGCTTTATCACGGATGTCTCCCACATATCTACTTTTTAATTGTCTTCCATCTGATGAGCTCTACAGGAGCCGCCGCTCCAGCACAAGCGGGCTCGGGAAGAGGTTTTTCCTGAGACTGTGACCCTGCTAAACTCTATGTATTGACCAGTGCACTTGCTGTGTGAACCTCTGAGGTTATTCTGCCCTCTGATGATATCACATGCACATCCAACTGCAAATACTGTAGTTACATTGTACATAAAACAGCCTATATAGATAGATATATTGATTTGTCAACGTGGGAAAATGTACATGTAGCAGAAGTCACCTGACATTTGTATACCTCACATAAAAACAATCACATCAAATATATACATATAAACATATACATACATGTATACTGTAAGTTATAGCACTACACATGTTGCAGCACTTTAATTCCATATACCAGTGCTTTAATTCTACTGTATGAACGTGTTCTTTCTTTTGCACTTCTGTTTCTGTGCTAACTACGTTTAATTGGCTTTCTATCAGTGCATTGCACAGTGACAATAAAGCATTGCTCTGGTCTAATCTAATCTAATCTAATCTAATGATTGGGCATGTGATGTAATGACAAATCATCTAATTACACCACACATGTTTTACTTGTTGCATTTCTTCACACGTTGAACAAGATTACAAGTTATAACATAATAAAAAGTAGCACTGTGCCAGTTACAGAATCTAGGCTTGACTGTCATTACAGCTGTTTTGTAAAACACTTCATTTAAATATTCTGAATGACACCTTTGTAAATTGTCAAGAAGTAAGAGTGTAGCAGCACTTGAACACAAAACCTGAACATAAACTCATATACGCGCACACATTTTATGCAGTTGTCCAAGCTCAAGAGCAGACCATAAATAATATATTTGAGTCCTTGCTAGCAAGCCCCATAATGTGACAGACAGGCAAGAAGAGCAGTGAGTATGAAATCCTGAGATTTAGTTTGGTGACAGTGTGCCATAGCCTTCTTGACGTGACCACCGGGGCCTAATGGAAGGAGCATCGCAGGAGGCATCATAGTCTGCGGGATGGTGGCAGTGGTGGGCTGAAGAGCCTGGGGAGGACAGATAGGACTGTAATGAGGTTCTCTGCCTGAAGGCACAGTGGCTTAGAATAAAATGCAGCATGAACCTATACAAGAGGTGAGGCGCCACTTATTGAGAGAGAAGGTTTATTGTTCCCAAAACAATGAACATTTCAAACATCAGACCTTCAAGCAGAAATTATTGCATAAACACTTAAGACTCAAGGCTTGTAACTGAGGTTTAAACTGCACAAAAACAGATAAAGAGCTTTGGTAACAAATATTGAATTCTAATAATGCACATTTACAGGCAACATCTAAAAAGCACATGGATCATACAGCTGAAAAAAATCCATCTAATCCCTATGTGAGAGCTCATAAGCTCCTCACTATGTAACTGTAACCCGTTTACTGATGTAAGGAAGCCCAATGTAGCAGGTTGCCAAGGAGCCAAAATACAAAATACATATATATACACATGCAATCACCCACACAGAATATACCACACATGCACACACACCCTCTGTCTGTGATCACTGCACTGACCCACAGTATGCAACAGGCAGGTTGTGTAATTAGGCTCACTTGGAAACCAAAAGCAGAGCAACTAATTCACAGAAATAAAACTCTGCAATGCCAACCGAAAAAAGCATCCACCCTCTCTGGGCTTGTTTTTGTGAATCTCAGTGGATATGATTAGTCTTCATCATAACTTAGTCTTTCATAACTTTGACTGCCAGGGGGGAAAATGTCAAAGTAAAAAATATCTACCATTTACATGTATATTAAAAACTAAGTATAGATGTTCTTGGTAATGTAACTTGAAGGATGTAAGACTTTATTTTAAAAAAATCTAGCCGAATAAGAAAAAAATTATGATTTAAATCACTTTTACATGTGCAAAGTTCAGAGTGCTTTTGAGCATTCAGCAGGTCGCAAATAGGTGTTGATGTTATGTGTCATTGGAAACAACACAAACAGTGGGAGTGATCAGTCAAACTGTGGCTTTGGAACAACACTGACCTATGTATATCTATTTATATATAGATAGATATAGATGTCAAGATATATATTGACATGATAGCATCACAGTTGCTGCAGATTGTTTGCACATCCATGATGTCAATCTCCTGTTACACCACATACCAAACTTGGCCTGTTGGACTGATGATTGTGAGCAAACTCATTACCATGTTCAAGAAAACACTTTGATTTAAGCTTTGTGACAGGATGTATTATCCTGTTGGAAACTGACATCAGAAAATACAGTGTGGTCATAAAGGGGTGGATGTGGTCAGCAGCTAAGCTGTAGCATTTAAATGATACTTAATTGGCACTAAATAGCTCAAAGTTTGTCAAGAAAATATCCTCCACACAATTACACCATCCGCAATAGCTCAAATCAAATCAAAAAACATGATAGGTCTGTGCTCTTATGATGTTTACACCAAATTCTGACCCTACCTTTAAAATGTCAGAGCAGAAATTGAGACTCATCAAACCAGGCAATGTTTTTCAGTTTTTGTTCAGTTTTGGTGAGCCTTAGTGAACTTTAACTTCAGCTAACAGGATCTGATGCTGTAACGTATCTCCTCTTTAGAGATGCTTTTCTGCATACCTAACAAGTGGTTATTTGAGTTACTGTCCGCTTACAGCAGCCTGTCCATTCTCCTCTGACATCCACAAGGTATTTTCTCCCAGAGAACTGTCACTCACTGGATACTTTTACTCTTTTAGGCCATTCTCTGTAAACCCCGGGGATGATTATTTGAGAAAATCTCTGTAGATCAGCAGTTTCTGAAATATTCAGACCAGCCTGTCTGGTACCAGCAAACATAATACATTCAAAATCACTTTCCTCCCCATTCTGATGGTCAGTTTGAACATCAGCAGGTCATCTTGACGGTGTCTACATGCCTATATGCACTGAGCTGCTGCCAGTTGATCAGGTGATTAGTTATTTATGTTAAAGAGCAGTTAAACAGTTGTACCTATTAAAGTGTCCAGTCAGTGTATTGCTTAAAAAGATGTAAAAAAAAAAAAATACAGTTACTATAAAACTTTCATAAACAAATGGAGTATTGCTTAAGCCTGTTTAACTTGAAATGAAACAAAAGACAGTTTAAATGATTTAAAACTCAACTGAAATAAGGAGAGGCTTTTTAAAAAGACACTTTCAGAAGGTCACCGATTTAGTTGACCTGATTTCTTTTTCATGCAGATTATTCCAGAGATTTGAGGCTATGACTGCAAGAGCTTCCACCTGAAGTTTTCAGTCAGACCCCTGGGACACACGAGACATCAGTCCTAGGATCTCTCTATATAAAATGGCATTCACAGTAAGAGGTCAAAATTATTAATAAGAGAGAAGTTATGACAGATCCTAAACATAATCATAAAATTACTTAGAGCCTGTGTAAGAGCAATAAGAATAAGTAAATGATCATATTTTTCAGTTCTGGACAAAAGTCTGTATATCCTGGAATTTGGTTCAGTTAGGTATTCAGTTTCATTATCCTGATACAATGAGGGGAAAGATTGTAAAATATGTGTTTAGATATGAAGTGTCGTCACTTTAGTTTTTCCCCTGTTTGCAGAAACTGAGTGTGATACAGCAGCTTGCTTCCATCTCCATGCAGGTGATGCTTAGCATTATTTGAAATAACCGTGATATGGCCATGAGTCCATATTTATTAGTACACTCAGGCCAACAATGCATGTTTAATAGATAGTTACAACATGAAAACTTTTATTATTATGGCAGACGACACTAATTAACACATAGTTGTGCATTCCTGCATTCCAGCTCTCCTTCATTTCTCGACTCTCCCCACTCCCTGTCAGTAGAAGGGGCCTTCACACTCCCATTTCATCGCCAGCTCTGTAATTAAAACGCTGTAATCTAGGTGGATCGTCTCTATTTTTAAAACCCCTACCCACCCCTCGTCACTGTGTGGGTAAAGTGACACAAAGGGAGGCATCAAGCAGTGAAAGAGAAGGAGGAGGAGAGGGTAGCTAGGCAAACAGCAGCAGGTGATCTACAACATAGTGAGAGATGAGAAAACTAAGAAACTATGTTTAGTTAGCGAAATGGCCTCAAGACAATTCTTATTGCATTATCCTGTGGAGCCCTGCCATTCGCATTAACTACTCTAAATGATACATTTTTAACAGAAATAAATGTGACAAAGTGTAAAAATACTAGCATTTATTGTAATCCATTGCCCTGTTACTTTAAATAAAACACCAACAGCATAAAGGGATGAGCAATGCAAGATACAATCTTTTTAAAACTGTGTTATTGTGATGATGTCAAAATTAATGACAGTAAGAAAGCAGTCAGTGTTGGATATTTCTTGTGGCATGATGAAGGGAATGAATGAGACGACACAGAGACAAGTTAAAAAATTAAGAAATGATAAACACAGAATAGCTGGTACAAAAGCTGGTAATACAGAAGGCCAAGCCAGAACCGGAGCATAGGAAACAAGAGGCTGATATAAGGGAAACAATAGACAATTTAACAAAGAAAAACGCAAAAGCATTATGCTTTCGTTGACTGATTTTGACGGAAAGTGTTTGAAGCAACCAAACACTTCCCCTCAAAAATCCCTTCATGCTTTAGAAATTTTACTTTGAAGAGTTTTGCCTTTAAAGTCAAACAGGAAGTAACTGAGACACGAGGACTATGGCCAAATGTGATAGGAGAATAGCAACAGGAGACACGAGAATAACAAAGGCAGGTGAAACTGGAAACATGAAGAAGCGCAACAAAAACAACCATGATAACAGTATAAGAATAGTGAGTTGTAAATAAATTGCCAGTTCAGGCTGCTTTATTTGTACACAGCAGATCTAGTCTGCAGTACGTGACTCATCCATTCCCACATGCACAATTTTCAAAATTACATATGGACAGCAGAAAACAGATAGTGATTGATATTTATTTTCCAATTTTGTGTATTTAGCTACTGTAACCACAAAAAACCCAAACTTTTTTAACCACTGAGGGTTGTAAATTAACTGCTTTTGACAAGCTCTATCCTATTTTTCTGCAAAGATCATGCTGTATGTATATGTATACTATGTGCAAAACCAGTCTAGTCATTCTCCTCTGACATTAACGAGGCATTTTTTTTTACCCAGATAACTGCCCTTTACTGGATTTTTTTTCCCCTATTCAGACCGTTCTCTTTAAACCCTTGACATGGTTGTGCAGTATCCCAGTGGTTGAGCAAGCCCAGTAGCAGTTTCTAAATACTCAAACCGGCCTGTCTGACACCATCAATCACTTAAACCACATTTCTTCCCTACTTAGATGCTCATTCTGAATTTTGGCATTGCATCTTAACCATTTCTATGCATCTAAAAAGACTGAGTTAGTGCCATGTGATTAGCTCATTAGATATTTGCATTAATAAGCAGTTGAACAGGTGTACCTAAAAAACTGGTATGTCAAATATGAATCAGGCCCTGCAGCTTTCTGACTCTAATTCCCTAAAAGCACCAGGCTCCTTAAATATGTTTAAATTATTTGCGCCTCTCAGTAATATTTAATCATGTTCACACTCACACATTCACAGAAATGGTCGTCAGTGTTTGTTTAAAGGGTTAGCTCATTCTATTAGCGATCATTTATTCATACCCCAGGGGTGGTTGGAGAAGGCCATGCATGGAGACACCCAGCAGTTCCCTCTGCTTCAAAGCTAACAGCATTAACCACATTAGCTGGATGCTCTGTTGAACGAATTAAAAACAAATAGCATCACTGCTGCTTGGAACTTATTGCATTTGTTTTGTTTGTTTGTTTTCTTTATTATCCCATTAGTGCGCTGGTTGTTGCCCCCGTAGTTCATCAGATGATGACAGAAAGATGATTTGAAGTTAAAGTGCTTATCATTAGCCTATAAGTCTGACTCACTTTCAACCCTCCTCACACTTACACACACACAGAACCCCCCCCACACACACACTTTTGCCCCTCACCCCCTGCGGCATCAGCTCAAGAACATGGCCATTACCTTCCCCGGTTCCTATGGCAACACCACCCTGCAGCTCTTATGTGGAGGTAGTAGTAGTGTGCATATGTGTGTGTATTCACAGTCACACGTGGCCGTAGGTGTGTGAGCATGTTCGCGGTGGGCTAAGGCTAGTTTAGATGATGCCATCAAAGAGTATGGTCAGTTTTATTGAGGTTTAATGTCACCCACTTCCTCTTTGTCACTGCTAAATGTATACCACTCACTGCTTAAAAACAGGCAATAGATGTTTTAAGTTTTAGGAAATAAATGCTCACATGTTACATGTCCATTGGTACTAGTATTTGTGGGTTTGCAATGCTTTCTGATTGATCCCTCATACTGTAGGTCGTAAATCTCTGATAGGGTAAGCGGACTTTTAAAGGCATTTTTCTTTGTCACCAGGAGCCATCTGAGGTCACCATGGCAAGTTTGACACCTTCTCACTAGCATTGATCTGCAATGCTGAATAAGAAAAAGAGATATATCTAGATGACAAGAGCACAAGGGTGACACACTGGAGCTGAAACAGAGTGAAGGACAGGGCAGAGAGGGTGAATGTTATTCTCTCTTTGGTGGTCCACTGTCTGGTACAAAGAAAGGTAGAAAGAAAGCCAGAAAAGCAATGTGAGATAAGGCTTTGAATATATCTCCTCAGACTCTTCTTTTTTCTTTTCTCTCTAAGGAGCAGGACTGACTGACAGACAATCCGCATCACCACCACCACCTCCTCTCCTGGCTGTGGGCAAGCTTTGTGCTTACCACCACCTTGAGCTAATTAACACATCTATATGCATACTCTTAGTTTATTAATAAGAAATAAAGTAGTTTGCCACAGACACCAATTATCTTTCATTTGGCAATTTAAGTGGTTGGGGGAGGTGTGTCATAGGCGATGGGAAGGGTTTTAATGGTCACGCAGTACAATGGATTTGCAGTGGAAATCAATAGGATGAAGCGCCCACTGTCCCCATGAGAGGACACAGTCATTAGAGAAAAGCATATTAAGACCATTTGCCTTAGACAGAATGAGCTCCCATCCTGTTGGATGTTTACTTTTGTTTATTGTGGGCTTGATTAGTCCCATGATGATCTTCTCCATCTAAGGCAGCCAAGCTGGTGTCTTTGTGCCTCAGCTCCCTCTCTCTTCAGTACTCCTCTCTGAATGCAGACTTAATCAAACACAACCTGTGCCAGGCTCCCTTCTTCTGTTTTGATCGGATCTCCCCTGTGCAGAGCTGTCTCCTCGCTCTGACTGTGCCTGTACGTGTACCCAGATGCAGAATTTGACCCAAATGTGATCCTCGGCTAAACACAGAAACAGAGATGAAAGATTGCTTAGTGCAGTGTATGACTCGCCATCCCTCATGAGAATTAGATTTAACCCCACTGCCGGTCGGTCTGCACAGACAGAGAACCTTAGCTTTACTATGCTCCATTTAAAAGCTTCCTTAGGGTTAGGGGTTCATTGGGTGATTTAATTTTGAATAGTTTATGGTCTTCTCAATGAAAGATTAAGCACATGGGTGTCTATATAACAGTGAGTTACTAAATGAGCCTCTTTTTCTCTCAGTGCATAAAAGCTGCATTACAGAATTAAGGTGTACCCACCTCCCAGCCTGCTAAAGATCACACTATCACTGACTTTCGGTTTGTTTCATTTTTATTGCAAACATCTGTTCCTTTTGCATATAATTAAGCTCTTTACACAAAACAGCATATGTGAGAGCTAAACCTGTGAATGCTAAGCATTCATTTGCATTTTGTTTGTAACAATTCACGCTAAATGGACTAAAAATTGAATTGAGTAGTCCCACCTTTCAAAAGTGTAAAAACCTCCTTGAGGTAAGCATTTCTATTAATATTCTGCTTTCAGAAGCACGCAAATAAAATAAGTGTCCGCAACGGTTAAGAAGAGAATAAGAAGGGGGATAATTAATTTCTTTAAAGTGTAAAGCTTTTATCGTTCACTATTTTCACTCGCAAATTACCTTTCCTTTTATGCCCCGGGGCCGCTCTTCCACTTGACTAATTCTTGAATCAAATATTGTCACCTCGTTGTTGTTCTTTATTTCCTAATTTATTCCATTATTACACTACAGCATGTTTTTGTGTGTGTGTGTGTCTGTGAAAATAATGGTGTTGCCACTTTATAGAGAAAGATGGGGTTTTTTGTAAAGTACCGACAGATAAAAGCCATCAGAGAAGGAGGAGTGGACAGACCTGCTGGAGTGAGAACACACTGACATACTGACAGGTGAATTTCAGGACTGGACAAGTACAAAAAAACCCAGTGAACCGTCACATTGACCAAAAACTGGGGGAAAAAAAATGCCTTAGGCTTGTATCTGACAGCACAGTGTTATCGGTTAAATTACGCTCACATTCAAGCTGAGAATATGCCACCATAGAAACACATTTCCAAGTGTGAAATGCTGTAGGTGTATCAGTTTGTGGATGGTCTGAAACCCATTAATTAAGTGTGTGTGTGTGTGTGTGTGTGTGTGTGTGTGTGTGTGTGTGTGTGTGTGTGTGTGTGTGTGTGTGTGTGTGTATATGTATGTGGGAAACTTTTCAAATTCTTGGTGTTGTGGGTGCTGAATGAGGCAGTTTTATTGTTTGTTGTTCATTTGCCTGCACATAATAGGTTGATTTAAAGATTCATGAACTTGAATTTAAGGACTGTTGGTCCCCTGCTGAATGGCATGTGGCACAATTTGCATGGATGATGTGGAGAAAAGGCAGTGAGTCTGTTTGAGGGCATATCAGCACCTTTGTGCACAGATGCCTATGAGTTTACACTAAATCCCCCCCCCCCGTTTTTTTTTTAAATTCCACTGATTTTGATGGAAATGAGAGGTCATGCAACATCTTTTGAAATGACTGCCAAGTCGTACTTTTTCTATTGTGTTCATGCACCTAACGGAGAGAAAGAGAAAAAGACTGTTTACATCCACCTGTGTGAGATATGAGATACCGTTTCCATTCCTCATCTTCATTGCATGTATTATTACTTCCTCCTTTGAATACAGCACATCCCATTAGAAACAGAATGAATGGGTCTGTGAAAGGCCACTTCATCCTTGTGGGACCTGCGTCGGCATAGAGAGCAGATCTTTTGTGCGTCTTGCCCCCTAATCAAAAATGCCGAGGGAATTAAAAATGGCTATCTACGCAACGCCGCTCGTGCTGACAAATAGATGGCAGAACAAGACACTTTCACAGAGATTTCAAAAAGATTCTCGCTCAAAGGCAGGCTTCACGTGTGAGTTATCTTTGTTATGGTTAAGTGTCGAATGCCACAGCCAGTTTAATCGCCTGTATTTCTGTCATGAGTTCAGTACACCGTTCATTATTTTTTTGTGAGGTCTGTGTTGTAAAAGGTCAGCAGTGATGCTTCTTGACAGTCAAATGTACACTTTTGGAGAGAGATCTTGAAACGCGACAAACCCTTGCCAAAGACACAAGTGCACACATTTTGATTGGGGTGAAGGGATAACATGCTAATGTGTTGTTCCTGCACTGCTACATTAGCCTTTTAATATCCTCTTCATGCACTTGTATTAATTAACCATGTGTCAACCTTAGCTGACGCAGTCTTAGTCACAATCATAATTATGTTTCCTTGTAAAGTTCAACCTGCAGGCCCAGTAACAGTACATGATGTTCTTCTCTAAACAATATTCTAAAATTGTCTCAGATCATCCAGGTGATGACGAGAATCACTATAAAGATGCACACTGACAACAGATTGTAGACACGCGGATTTTGCTCCGTGGTAACTCTTTAACATATGCATCTGTGATAGTGGGCGACTAGCAGTGCTCATAATGTGACAGTTCACAGTGGGTCTTTGGCAAGAAGGTAAGTAATTTTAATTGGCACTCAGCCAAGTCAAGAGAATAAGCATTTATGTGAGAACATTAGAGAAGATTCAAAGAAAGGGGATATACTTTGAACTGTTCATCGTTTGAGCGGTACAATTACTGGCTTGAAAATATCTGCAAATGAATAGAATTTGTAACTTCTTATTTTCACATGCAGGCCAACTGATTATGCAAGTAAGTGTCATATTACCAGTTATTCACATTATTTGCTTCACCTTCTTGTTGTCTTGTTGTACAAGCGAACACCTTACGTGTCTCCTACAACCTATAGGGCATGTTTCCTGAATAACTGCATGTATTTTACTCCATAAAAAAATTGCATAGATCTATATTTTACTGTAAAGAAGTAAAAGATCATTTTGAATAGAGCCCACTTGTTGCTGTGGTTTCCAAATTATAACAACCATACAGTTAATGCTATGGGGAGGTTTGAGATGTGGTGTGAGGTGTTTTCGTGTGTTTAGTGTGTGGCTTGTTATACGACAGTTAATGTATAAATGATATATAAATAATATTCACATGTGCCTCCCTGTATCCAGTAGACATTTATGAGAACAATACCAGGATAATTTTGGATTTTCTTTTTCAGAGTATTGACAAAATTAAAGGATTTGGAAGAAAAGATTAAGTAAAAATAAATGTTTTAATAGAAATTCTCTCTACTAAATGAAAGCAGCGAAGTCATCTGATCTCCTGTTTAGAAAGTCTGGATACACCACACACTGCAGTTACCTGTCTGTAAGAAAACATGACACTGATCCCTATAAAGTTTAATCATTTATGCTTCCATATTATTTTCTCTTGGCTATATTATACAATTTTTGTGGTCATCTTCATCTGAACTATTCCACCGATCAATATCCAGATGTTTAAATACAGGTTTTCATGTTGTGTTGAAATAGTGTGTGGAGTTGTTCTTAGCCATTAAAGTCTAATTATCTAATGTGTTTTATTAATTCATAGTGTTTGTCTGAGATACCTTTGTCAAAGTTTGATGGTCTGTTGAACACGCTGTCTTGTGTGCATGGTCAGTGGACACAGGTGTGAATGCATGGGTGTGTTTGTAAGGATTCATCTACCCGAGCTCTCCTAACAAGTACTGAAAAAATAATGAGAACATCGGTTGCTTCAGAGTGGGGTACATCAGAGAGAAAGAGGAGAAGATGCCGATACATATAAGAAAGAGAAGATAAATTGATTTAAAATGCTGAGATGAATTCAGTGGAAACCCAAAATCTTTTTCTCTGTTTAAAACTCAAATAGAAAATGATATATTTTGGCTGAGAAAATAGAGGGATGTACTATTAAAGGGAAAAAGGTGTATTAAATTAATTACAGCAGTTCTTGGATGTCTGTAGCTGTATTTTGGACAGATACTGCTCCTCAAACTCCACCTACGATAAGAATTTTATGTCATTTGGTCATTGTAATTTTTCTTTCCAAAAATTACCCTGTGAATGTTTAAAGTGCGCCTACATCAGGATATCACTGATATAATGCTTTTACTTTGTGAATAATCAACAATCTGATGTAATGTGAAAGGACAGAAAGGTTATTCCACACGTCTGGTCAGATCTGAGCTCACATTTTTTAAAAGAAGGTCAACAAGGTTCTTCAGAGATCTGTATAGCACAGGATTAATCACAACTGAATGTTAAGGAGAAATACTTTTTTAAAAAGACTTCAAAATGCAATTACAAGAGAAATACCACTGTAGCCTTTTCTTCTGAACATGTTCTGTTTAAAAACAATTAAATAATACAAAGTGCTAATTAATTAAGAGTTGACAAAGCTTAAAATAGTTGTTACAACTTTTTACTTGCATGCCGCAGTTTCAAGTTTTTGGTACAAAATAATTCATGCAGCATCGATGATTTCAAAGTGCAAAACAGATCCAAAGTCACTTTACAGAGCAGTTAGCGAGCATGCCAAGTAGGACCAGAGTCACTCCATAAAGCTGTAACGAAGTTTGTTGAAAACCCTAAAGGCTTTTCATACTCAAGGTGTACCAAGCAAGAACAAGAAAAAAAAAAAACTTTGTATAGAGAATACACACATACACATCCATCACGTCCACAGAGTACACTGGCAGGCGTGGAACTATAAAAATTCACAATCATGCTTTTGGACTTTTTTTTTTAAACCAAATATTAATAATCATTCGAAATTTACCAGGCAAAAAAAACAAATCAAAAATGAGGTAACGGCTTGTAAACATGTTTTTTACTTTGTTCAAGTTGGCAACGACAAATTCACTCAAAATATTCAACAGATCGGCCCACGTGTAAACAGCTGCCCTTATTTTACGCACAGACTTTACGCACAAACATTGGTCGTTGGACTACTTTCCTGTAGTCCTTTTTTTTCGGTAGGTCATGTTTTTGCATATCTTAGTCACAAGGACACACTTTGATAAGTACATGCAGATGTAGATCTTGATCTGCTGTTCGAAATGTGCAACAGATCTCCATACCGGTTCTCCATCCATCTCTCCATCTAGGTGAACTAGCTGAGCCCAATCATAACAGTTTCCACGTCTTTGGAGGGTCTCCGGTCCCTTACCAGAAAGTTAATCATACTTTCCGACTTAATCATCAGGTTGCACCCAAGAAAAAATACACCGAACACTACAGTGAGTGACAACACGCACAGCACTGCGATTTGCACCACACGCATCACGAAGAGTTTGCGCTCGTCTTGCAGCAGTATCAGGGACCCTCCGCCGTCGCCGGTCACCACGCTGTCGGTTGCATTGCCGGAGTATGTTGCCAGTGTCCCAGCGAGGCTCTGACTGCCGTTAAACATTGCGTCCTGGGTCACGTTGAAGAGGGAAACATTCATCTTTTGTTGTGGGTTGTTAGCAGCAAATCACGCGACTCCAACTGGTAGGCAGACAGTTTCACTATAAAACCCCGACACCGAGCAAAACTTAGTGTCATATGACTACTGAGACAAAAAATAAGAGGAAGGTATCGAGAAATAACTAGCTTTTGAAGTCCAGTTCTGCAGCCAAACATCGAGGTTTGCCAAAGCTTGAGTGCGTAATGACCACATCCACATCACCGCACCGCTACAGTCAGAGAGTGTCGATCAAGTAATAACCCAACTATGGTAAGTTTCTTTAATTCAGAGTCCAAGTTTCTCTAAGTCTTAGCGAGTCTTCTGCACAGGAAGGAAGGTGCAAAATGGTGTTCCCCGATGGTGTATTAAGAGACACTCCCTGCGCACCCGAGCTCGCCTGCGAGCGTTTTCTTCCACTGTGCCAAATCTCTCGTGCCTTTTAAAGTGATGATGAATTCTCCGTGGACCACAACACCGCTCCTCAATAGAGAATGCGGTCAGGTGGCTTTCCATAAAGCGCTACTGAATACACAAAAAAGGAGAGAAGGAAGGAAAGAAAGAAAAAAGAAAAAAGAAAGAAAGAAAATAGTTTTCCCTACTTGTTTTTTACTGCCACCTGTTTCAAATTCATTTTTATTGTTTTTGTTTGTTTGTTTGTTTGTTTTTATACGGATCTGAGTAGTGTAACAGTTCTAGCTTAACAAATATGAAGATGTTTGTTAAAAAGCATGTAAATGTATTTCAGGTACACCACAAATGGGGTTAAATTGCTTATTAAAAGATATTCTGATCTCCTTGAGGAACATAGTATCCATGTATTCACATTTTAAAGGCTGTATAAATCTCCCTAGTACTGATTGGGGCATATATTAACTGTGGTGGCTTCTTGGGAAAATATTTACCTGGATGAACATTGTGTTCAGTGAGAAATAAGTTGACCGCCTGCACTGAAAAATAAATGAGAGGTGTTAATTGATTCTAATTGGGTTTTTTTTTATAGTTGTTGTTGTTTCTGAATAAGATGTGACTGTGGTTTAGGAGGTGAGAGAGGCAGCAGTATTTGCAAGCTGTAACTTGGAAATGAAGACTTGAGCTAATAAACTTCTCTGTGTTTTCCTCCAGGCTGCTGCTGAAATTAAATTTCTGAGCTCATATTTATTGGAATGTGTTACTCAAATATTACTTTGACGTTCAGGTGTAAACTGTTGGTGGCATGAAACAGAAATGAGAGCTTTCATGCAATTGTATCAGTTAAAGATTTTTTAATATACTGGAATATCTTTCTATATTAATAATGTTATCCTCCTTCACTCATTCACACATAATGCGAGGTTTCATTTTGGTCAGTGACAAAATATATGAAAGTATTTGTGTAGTTTCTTATTGCGATGTAGGAGTTTTAATCAGAAATTAACCTTTAAAAATTGCTGAAAAGAAGTACTATAATCAAAGTAGAGAGTATTAAGCTGCCTTGGCTGAATAGGCACCAATTTAATATTTATTATCTCACAGCTGCTGTGACTTCCTCAAACTGCTGATATACGACACAGTTATGCATGAGCACATTCAAATTTTAAAGCAAAGAAAAAAATGTTTTTTCTATTTTATTCTAATACCTCACTTGTTTGGTTGTGAGATAACCACGATACATTTCAGCAGATTCATGAAAGAAAAGAAAAGTCATCCTCACACATTATAAAACTTACCAAGAGTTGTGTGCAGAGTCTGTCAGATTAATCTTCTGTTTGTCTAAAAACAAAGGCCATGAAATTCAATTTGGGGTGCTCCTGATTTCTGGGTAAGCAGCTTTCAGCCAGCGACTGACAGGCATGTGTACAAACAATGATTCGCTCAATCACAAATACTTTCCATGAGCCTGGGGCTGGTTTACTTTCAGATAATTTATTAATGGCTGACAACAGAAGAACAATGAGTAGTTTTTTGTGTACAATAAGATCAAATCATCTCATTAGCCTTTCAATTTGGTTGCTGCAAATTGATTGCCAGCATATAAATCAGTGCTGTACAATCTGACTTTGTTCTATTATTCACTTTAGTGTGATTATAGAAAGCAGCTTGTACTAACACCTAATCTCTCTGTCAATATGTACCAATGCTTCCTTGAGGCTTTAAACTACAGAACTTCAAAGAATGTGCAAATGATGAAAAAGTAGTTGCAAAATCAGCAGGAGGAAACTTCAGTTATTCTTCTGAACTAATTAGCAAATTCTGACGCAAAAGTACAAAGAGCTCGTCGTGTCATTATTAAGTGGTTTTTCAAGAAGTTTTGCACGTTAGAAGCTTCTTAGACTTCATTAACCTGTTGCATATTTAAACTTCAAACTCAGCAGAGCGTCAGAGGCTTTCCTGTGAATGCCTCAGATTTCATTGATGCACCAGTCACAGGAAGAGACATAACTGGAGGTTATTGTTAGTATAAATGTAGATGAAAATATATTCATATGAGAATGCATACATGAATGTGAGTGCCCGACTTGTTCCTAAGCAACAGTAGACCTGTGAGCCCAGTGACAGATGGTTGGTGAAGTTATTTTGGTTTAGAGGAGAAAGAGAGGGAGGGAGCGGTGAGGTGCCTGGACGGAGCAGAAGGGGGGAAATGTTTCCACTTAACATGAGGGAATTGGCAGCCTAGCAACACAAACTAAGTGAAGACATCCCTAGCAACAAAGATTTGGTGTTTGACCCCACCCACGTCCCTACCGTTCCTTATCCATACATCATTTTTTCTCTGAGTTGCTGACACAGGGCCTACATTCACCTTTTCGAACCCTTCCAACACAAAGATAACCAAAATTCCTCAAAACATCCTCCCCATTAATTATGAGATTTCTAATATGTCCAGTTATTAGCAAATTAAAAAACACATGGAAGGATTAATTTCCATTTCCATTTAAAAAGTGTGTTTTGATATTAAATATGAATAAATACATTATCACAGAAGAAAATGTTTTCGGCATTTCTTGTAGATTAAACACAGGCTGATAAATTTTGTTTTCTGTGGATGGGGTCAGGCAGGTCATCAAAATTCAGGGGGCTGATCTGGTGTGAAATAACTAAATTCCCGCAGTGTGACCAAGTTACAGCTACTTGGCCAACCTTAGCTTGATACCTGAAGAAAACTAATATCTGGGAGGAAATACTTGCTGTCCAGCTAACTTGTTAAACTACTTAATCAGCTAATTATGCCCCATAATATTAACTCATGTATTATTTGTGGATCTGTCACATCAAATTTAACTTTATTATCTTGATCAGGTATACAATATAAACTTAATTAGGTACACCTTGCTAGCAGTTTCATCCCCCCTTTCCTTCAGAACTACTTTAATTCCTCAAGGCATGAATTCAAGAAGGAGTTAGCAACATTCCTCTGTGATTTTGGTTCATTTTGACATGATTGCATCACACAGATGCCAGCTGCACATAATTTTGTTTTATCTGCTCCCTCATTCACAAGTGGTCACAAAGCAGATGGATAATCATATTTGATTTGGGAGAGATTTTAACACCAAATTCCCTTCCTGATGCAACCCTCCCAGGGATTTTTGGGACCATCAAAAGGTGGGTACATGCTGGTTATAAGGGAGTGTTTGTCAGCAATACTCAGGTACATTCAGAAATTTAAATCTTGTCAGCCACCCAGAGTGCACCAAGAAAATATCTTCCAAATATTACACCACTCCATATTGACAAGGTAGCTTCACAGAGTTGCTGAAGATATGCTGGCTGCTCTATTGGATTAAGAGCTGGTGACTGTGGAGGGTATTTGAGTACTTTGAATGCACTGTCATATATCATATTCAAGAAACCAGTTTTAGATGATTTGAACTTTGTGGGAATGTATGTTATCCTGCCAGAAGCAGCTACTGGAAAATGCATATGTTGCAGTGAAGTCAGATGCAGAGACGTCAGCAACAATACTCAAGGCTAAAGGGTCCAACATGTGCAAATAAAATGTTTCTCACACCATTACACCACCAGCAATTGCAGCATAAATCCAAACTATTCAGGCAAGGCAAATGTTCCCAATTTTGTTTAAATTCACCTGAATCCCCGTTCTGATGCTCAGTTGGAATTCAGCAGGTTTTCTTGGCCATGCTTAAATGTCTAAATGTTATTGGCTCCTATGTGTTTGGCCAGTTAGACATTTGCCTTAATGATCAGTTGATAGGTGCACCTAACAAAGTGTTTGGCAAATCAAAGCACAACATAAAACAAGGCAACAATACATATAACAGTACAGGACTGTCTCTGGTGGTTTATTTCTCATCATTGTTTGGCTCATGAGAGCTTGCTCGCACATACTGCAAGCTGCAGCTCCCTTTGCCTGTCATTAATAACAGTGGATTTACACCACTTGCACAGAAAACCTGGAGGAGCTAAACACCTATAGGACTCACAGTTACACATGATTATATTATAATAATTATACATTGACGTAAATGACATGGATACGTACCTTACACAAAACAATCATTAAAGTTATTTTTAAGAAGATAGTGACTTCTTTAGTTTATATACAAGTGGATATTAGACTCTCTAAGAATGTGTGTTGTCTGCTGTTTATTTAAGACACAGTTTGCAGAACTTATAAATTTAATTTAAGAATTTCCTCTCCTGTGCAGACATCTCATGCTCTCAGATGCCACCCATTAACCTCATTTCCACTTAGACATAACCCCACATCTCAGTAAGCAGGCTACCATGATGTGCCTCGTCATTTCTGCCTGTTTACTCTCAATGTTCAGCCACTTTGTCATCTTCAAGCCCTTTTTTCCCTCAGCTGTCTCTATATGTAACAGCAGGCAACATTAGAGTTCCCACGGTTCTGAAGTCTTTAAAAAACAACAACAGAAAATCCCCCTTTCCATTTGTCCACCCCTCGTGTGTTCTCAGTTGAATGTTTTTTTTATTTATTTTTACTTTTTTCACATATAAGCTATCATCCCCCGGGAGGCAAGTGTAAGCCGCAGAGCCGGAGGAGCTAGTGTAGGAGGAAGATCAGATAGCAAAACTTCATAACGCATATACACATTTTCCCACGTCAGTGACTGTGGGGCGCATTTCATAAGCTGGCTGACCACACACCTGAAATACACCTTAAAAGCTCATATCCCCGATTTGACCTTCCCACCTGCCAGCTAAACCCACGAAAGCAGGAAACGGCAAGCTGAGTGCAGTTAACCAAAAGCTGATTTTGCCCGAGTGTGATTGTGTTTGGATATTGGTCCAGTGTGACAGCATTTCAGACTCAGCGAAAAGCTTAAAGGGCTCCAGATAGATCTGTAACATAGGTCAGAACCCCTCCACCCCCTTTCTTCCTCCTGCTCCACTCCTTGCTTCTTGTTCAGTCTTAATTGGCTGCCATCTGACCCAGTCGGCAGCTTTTTATTCAGGACAACTGGCGCTATGCTCATCCCAATATGTCACTCATCTGTGGGTGAAATCT